TTGGCCTCCCCCCATAACTGACTCTTTTGAAGATATTAAGTGCTCCAACACTCTACCTGTGTGAAGGGTGCTATATAAATGCAAGTTGTTGTTGTATAAAAATTTTGCCTTTATTTGCATTTTTCTTTTTCCCCCTCAACCAATTTCTCTATATATTAAATTAGTTCTGGCTACTGATGTTAGCTTTTATTAATTAAAATATACTTTGCAGGATTTTGTAATTGTGTTCAGCTGGACTTTCTGTATCTTATTTTCACCTATAAAAAATATTTTTTACATACTTTGGTGTATTACACTCACATTATCTAGCGAATAACTTGAGTGACAACTTCTCCACACCTAATGTCAGCCTTGTCTGTTTGCAGCCAACGCACCACCTCCTGCATTCGCACCTACAGAGCAACACGTGAATAGGCATGTTCACGCAATGGAAACTTCCAGGTGACTGCTCATTAATTCCAGAAATGACTGACAGCAGAGGTGAGCTCAACACAGCCGTGGTCAATAAAGATGCGGAAGCTATTTGAACACTGGTACACATCGTGGCATTATTTACTCAGTAATTCTGCTGTTGAAGCCACATTGAACGCCACATGTAAGTGATTTAGTTGTTATGTTTCAAAGCTCTCTGGATTCAGGAATTATAGCAGAAGGTTGACATGAATGAGATGTCATTGTTCAAGGAGCAAATCAAATAACTATAAGCCTATGAGGTTTATAACATCAGTTATAGACAAATTACTGGAATGCATCATAAATGCCTGACATTTAACTGATCATTTGATGTGTAATATGAAAATTGTTGTATAGGCATTTTAGAATGAGACCAATTGGCCAAAGGGCATCTTTACTCAAACCTCTCTTGTGATTCTCAGTGAACACTTTCAAAATGAAGGTCAAGAGTCTGATCCGTTATTTGGACAGGGAAGGGCAGCGAATTTTGTGTTTTTCTGGGAATGGTGACAAATATCGTTTGTAGTAAATGAGTGATTTGACATTAAAAAAAAGAAATACGTTGGATTTGGACAAAAACATTTTAGTTATACTTCTTTAATGCTGCAACTATTTTTGAGACTATTTTAACTGAGAATTTAAAATCTTGACACCTGTCCTGCATCTGATTGCTTTCTAGATCTCCAGCCTGTCTGCTATGAAGAACCAGATCATTGGTGCTCTATTGTCTATTATGAATTAAACAATAGAATTGGAGAAGCATTTCATGCATCATTGACAAGCATACTAATTGATGGATTTACTGATCCCTCTAATAACAATAGGTTCTGTCTTGGGCTTTTGTCCAATATAAACCGAAACTCCACCATTGAAAACACCAGACGACATATTGGAAAAGGTCAGTTCTACAAATGAATGTAGTGTATTCCCTTTAGTAGGTTTAGTATTGCTTTAATGTTTCCTATTCTTGCCTTTGATTTCTCCAACTTTATCTTAGTTCCTGTGAGAAAGTTTCTGACCTCTACCTGTGACCTGGCTGAGATTGGAAGATTTGTAGAGTGGATATTCTTGGCTGCAAAGTATATTTTAACCATATAAACAATGCCCATATTGTGTGGCACTTACTTGGAATTAATGGCTATATGGAAAATACATCACTTTTGGGTAGTACGAAGGCACAGTAATTACACTGATTTATTGAAAAAAAACTGTTTGGTCCATTAAAGCAATATAACTAATTAGCACTTTCAAACACGATAGTTTGGTGATTTATATGGTTCTCAGAAATAAATTCGGTGAATATGTGTTTCACATTTCTAATTATTGGAATCTTCACTTTTACTTGTACTACGAGTTGACAAAAATGTGCACGATTCGCTTGAGCTTTGTAAAGGCAAGTGATCTATTACAGGCTGGGATGGAGAAATATCTTCTTATTGCACATAATTAATTAAACCAGGGCTATTTTTGAATTAATCTGAGTAAACTGGTGCCCCCATAAAGCAGGAGCTGAAATGGCAGCTACTAATGGCTCAGATGTTTGCCAACATCAAGCAGGGAAGGGTGTGTGTTCAACCCCGCAACCAGTCAAGAATTATGAACTGGCTTAGAAGCAGTGTATCATTATTCACTCCGTGCGTGAACCTGACAATGAGTGTTGATCTCAAGGCAATGACACCTGAACTGAATCCTGTCCTCACCTAACATCCAACCATCACTTTAATAATAATAATACTAATCCTTGCATTTGCTATAGCACTTTTCACATCTTCTAGACATCCCAAAGCGCTTCACAGAATATACTGTAAAGTGAATTGACTATATTTCTGGGCGAACGCGGCAGCTAATTGCGCACAGCAATATCCCACAAACAGTCGTAGATTGAAAATTACCAATTTATTATTGTTTTTGGTTTTGGAGGGATTATTATTAGGCGTGTGGAGTAAGGAAACTTGCCCAAGGATTCGCCCTGCCTGGAATTGAACTCAGATCTCTCGCTTGCAAAGCGAGTGCTCTAACCACTGAGCTACAGGACTCCACATCCGGGGTCACATTTTCACCCCGTGAAGAATTTACAATTCGAGCAAATATCAGTGAGCAACTCAAACTGTTCCTCAGCTATTCCTTCAGAAAAAAAGGGAGAATCGAAAAGATAATTGAAGAGGTGTCCCATTTTACTGCTCTTATAATCTACCTCACTGACACCAGAGCAATCTATTTATTTAATAGCATTTGGAAAATTACAACCTTTTTTTTACAATTGTTAGGTATATGAGTTTGTTCAAAAAGGCATATTTTCTTAATTTTCCTTCTCCAATTTTACCACCTCCAGGAAAGAATTTGGCTTATTTTTCTTTCTACTGCATCCATTTCCATAGGCTCCCTAAGCACCTCTCCCAATAGCCATTATTCATGTGCGATTCTTGACAGTGAATGTTGGCATCCACATACGGCCTCAATCAACATCCACATTTGTAAACCTTACAGAATACATGTCTAGAAAGTGATCAGGACTATGTCTGAATTTCATCTCTATGCTGGGGCTTTGGATCTGCAAATTTCTAGCCTGCATGGTCTGGTGCTTCACTGCATTCAGTTGTGACCACTAATTCACGATAGTGAACTTCATTCAATTAATAGAGGGAATGAACATCAAATAATAATAATAATCCTTGCATTTGATATAGCACCTTTTCACATCTTTCTTGCAGACATCTCAAAGCGCTTCACAGAATACTGTAAAGTGAATTGACTGTATATTTTGTGGGCAAAATAATATGCAGCAACAAAAGGACGAATAGGAATAATGGACAGCTCAGTGATGCAATCAATGCCAATGGTCTACTTTCAGGGGTGTTTATGCATGTAACATAATTTGGGTAATGAGGATATGGCAGAGCAAAAGAAAATTGCATTTTTATAGCACCATCACTTTGAAGTGTCTCATAGCTCTTTATAGTAATCACTATTTTTAGACAAATGCAAAAAGGAGCCATTTTGCTCACAACATGGTTCCACAAACAATGAGGTGAATAATCAAGTAATCTGGAGGTTAGTTGTCCACTACACCAAGAAAACACCCCCGTTTTAATAAAATAATCCTTGCATTTGATATAGTACCTTATCACACCTTTAACTACAAAATACACGTCGAGACAAATACAAATTCACTTCAAAACATTTTGTCGTAAATCAAAAACAAGGATTATTATTTTCCTTCACAGATTCTCAAGGCATCTTGCACACTTACACTTGACAAATTCTGGAGATGTAGCAGTTGATGAGAATATCTTTGTGGGGAGAATTGTCTATGGCTTTAGAATTATATCAAAAACAACTAAACAAATTGTGTAAAAATAATTTATCTTTCAAAGGAATCATTGTGTAATTAGATAGAAAGTTGTGCATTTAACTCCTCATTTTCTGATGGTTTACAGTGCTGGGGAGCAGAGTATCACCGTCAGGACATTACAAGCACTCCCCGCTGGATAGAGATTCATCTACATGGACCACTACAATGGCTGGACAAAGTTTTAACTCAAATGGGCTCACCTCACAACCCCATTTCTTCAGTTTCCTAAAACACCTCAATATAATAACTGAAGTAATAATGCTTGTGTTAACATCAAAATTCACTTTACAGGTAATTACTGTCAAGTGTAGTGGCTGTGTATTTTTAGTCAAGCACAGTTGTCAATATTGCACATAGCAGATATCTATGGAGTGAATGACCAATTTCATCTGGTGGTTTATTGGCCAAAGCACCTGGATACCTCCCCCACTTTTATGAATAGTGTCAATGGATCTTTAACAAAAAGGACCTCAGGTTAACATCCAATCCAAATGAAGCACTCCAACAATACAAGGCCCTGTGCCAATGTAGCTTTGAAGCCACAATCTTTGACCCAGAGGTGAGAGTGCTACAAACTAAGACTAATTGATGTGGCTAACACTCTGGGTCAATTTATTGGAGTTACGAAAAGCTACTTTTAGAGGAGAGTCGACATTTAGTTGATATCGGAACTAATCATATGTAGTAATTTTCATCCTCTTGTTCTAACAAAGTTACTTGGAGGCATGAAAGATAGTTTATTAGAGTTCCATTGCATAAAGCTAACTTGGATTTAAGTTTACTTTGATGAATAAAAGTCCTTATTTTGAAATACATCAATATTCAAGAGTTTACCCATTACTTTAATTTGCTGGAGTTTATTCCATGTCTCATCCTTTTACTGAAAAAAAATCCTCTTATGGTTTCCTATTCTCTTGGCCTTATTTTGAAGGTATTGTGACTTGATCTGTCAGTCAGAACTGAAACCCCCAATTGTGTGTTGCTGTCAAAGAAGTAGAATTCTTTGATCAGTTTTCAGGCAGAATTCATACAGCACTGGGAATCATGCATGTTGCTGAAGTGCTTCAATAATATTGCTCGAATCACAAACTACTTAACAGCAAGAGAATCCAGCTACAAACTAATCTTCACATAGCTATAGTGAAAACATGCACAGGCATTAACTGATCAACATGTCAATTATAACAAAACTACATTTTTACTCACAATGATTAAAATAATCATCACTTTAATTACAGAACAATTCGAGGGTTTAGGACCAAATGCTGGTTTGAATAGTCGAGAGGAAAACTGACATACAATCAACATTCATTCTTGATGGTGCACACCTAATGGAACCCGATGTTTTTAATATACCACTACCAGTGGTATGTTGCAGATTTTACATTGATGCTAGAAAATATATTACAGCAAATCTATTTAACTAACAAGAATACATACATGGCTGTTGCACATTATCTTTTACATCAATGCATACATAACAAGCATAATTAATTTCAGTTTTAGTTTAGGCTACAAAATATTGTTAAATAGAAAATGCTGTATGCATTTGCAAACTTTCAAATTCTCAATGACTCATAACAATCCATATTTTAATATTACTTAAAAATACAGTAATTCTAAAAATAATCAACACACACAAGATCAACTTGTCTCTTTCTTAATAATGTCCACCCAATTTCAAATTGGATTTCAGCAGAGTAATATCTTACTGAAATGCTTAAAATATCTGCAAAGCATATAAAAAATGTAATTGATAGTTGCAACTCCAAAGCAAATATACACACACATATATATATATAATAAACTCCACATTCCTTTATCCACAAAAAGGCCACTCGCTTGTCACATGGAGAGGGGGGGGGGAAGAGAAAGAGAGAAAAATGCGAAAGTAAAATCTTAACTATATACAGTAAAATTTAACAGCAATAGCATCTACAAACAAATAGTGCATAAAGATTCCCTTTCTCATTTACAAGGCAAGTCTTGAATTTAAAACATTTCTCAGCAGTAAAAGCAAAAAATCAGTCAGATTTTGATATCAAACAATGCTTTTTTGAGCAATTGGACAATGTTTCTGGAAGGTCATAGCAGAACATCAAAGGGGCTCGGAAAATATAAACAGCAGGGATTCTGGTATATTCAGATAAGCTCCATGCAACTCATTCACTGATCCAAACGAGGCCCAACTGCAATCCCACAGCTCCGTTACCTTTGGCTATTGCTCCGTACAATTGTTCCAAGCCAAGATGCCAATTGCTTCTCCAACAAAACACTGCTCGGCGCAGAATACATTTAAAATCATGTCACAGGCACACATACCAAAATCACGAATGAACAGCATATTGGTGGGTCATTCTGGCCGAGCATGACCAAGAGTAGAGTTAAACCAAAAGTATCAAATGTTCAAACAAATTGACAGCATCCCATTCAAAGACATTTTCTTCTAATATTAATATTTATCAAAACACATGAAATAAAAAAATTTCTACACTAGATGGGACATTTATTTAGATTAAAAATAGGTTCAGTCAGCGGCATCACTTGTGCATTCCTCCAAACCTTCAGGTCTTCTGCTATCCCATCCTCACAGAAGGCAGGTGGAAACTGAAAGGTCATATTGGGGCTTCTTGAAGCTGCTGGTGTCTCTGAGTGATGGCCTGGTTGCTTAGTAATCGTTGCTGATGCTGGAGAAATTGTACCACTTCAGGACTTCTCAGTAATGACTGTAGAAATAAACAAAGTTCCATCACTCCAATGTTCCAACAGACTTGATAGCAGAATATTTTATTGCAATTAAATACATATGCAATTAAAAATATATACATCTAGATTTATGCATGAGGAAATATTTAGTTTCACTACTTCAATGCCAAAAACAGGCAGGGAAGAAGCAATTTTCTATTGTACTCAACAAATGTTGTTAAGTTTAATAAAATGATCAGGATCAGTGGGTATAAAATTCAATGATCTTGAGAAAATGACCATAATAATAATAAGAATCCTTGCATTTGATATAGCGCTTTTCATGTCGGGAGGACGTCCCAAAGCGCTTCACAGAACACACTGTAAAGTGAATTGACTGTATATTTGTGGGCGAACGCGGCAGCCAATTGCGCACAGCAATGTTCCACAAACAGTCGTAGATTGAAAATGACTAATTTTTATTGTTTTTGGTTTTGGAGGGATTATTATTAGGTGTGTGGAGTAAGGAAACTTGCCCAAGGTTTCGCCCTCTGCCTGGAATTGAACTCAGGTCTCTCGCTTGCAAAGCGAGTGCTCTAACCACTGAGCTACAGGACCATAAAATGTTTCACAAAATTAAATGAGAAATTGGTTGAATTTACTTGTTGAATACATTTTCATTTCAAGTGCAGAATGTTACAGTAGAATTATTATATCGAATTATTATATAGAAGTTCAGAAGGACCTGGCTGTATAGTTTAGATGGTGTAATTGGCTTCTTATGAAAATTGTGCTTTTACTATACCTGTTCACAATGATCTTGTGAAAATGTATTATGGTGAAGGGTTCAGCATTACATTGCCACCAATATAAGGGAAATTAGTTTATTGGGGTATTACATAGGGGTCAAGCTGTTGCTTCAAAAAATGGCTCTGTAATCATCCTTCCTTCCCACCCACCCCTCACCCCCCCTTATGCAAATAAAATTACAAATGGTCAAGTGTATGTACTCAATTTTGCTCTGATTGAAAATCAAATTGACCTTTAAAATGTTGGATTACTCCCTCTTGTTAAGTTTGAATCCAATTCTTATCTGATAATGATATATTTCATGAGCTCCTGTCTCCTATGTGGAGTGGGGGGGGGAAGACAAATTGACCATTAAATCAAAGAGCTTAACCAAAATACAACCTTTTCCATTCAAAAAGCATATTCCATCCTGGATTCCTTACTCTTTAAAAAGGTTTAATTTTGAACCTATAAAGGCCCGCTGAACGTGCTCACTGATCCCAGCACTTCCAGGAGTGACCCGCTTACTGAAGGATTACCTGACCCTTATTCTTCTGACATAATGTACTTGAGATGAAGATATATATATAATAATCACTGCATTTAATATAGCGATTTTCACATCTTCTAGATGTCTCAAAACGCAGAATACTGTAGTGAATTGACTGTATATTTGTGAGCAAAACGCAGCAGCAAATTGCACCCAGCAGTGTCCCACAAACAGTTATTATATAATATCAACTTGATCTGAGCCAACTGCCAACTGCTTGTTTAATGGCTGACCTGCAGAAAATTAGCCAAGTGCTCGTTAGCTGGAGTTCAATGTAATAATAATAATTCTTGCATTTGATATAGCACCTTATCACATCTTCTAGACATCTCAATGCGCTTCACAGAATATAATATGGAGGTGGTGTGGAGATGCATCTAGATCCAGAAAAGAAGCTAACAGGAGGTGGTGTGAGTGTCCAAAGCAACATGGATGTTGGTGAAGGATGACATATCAATACCTTATAAGGCAGTGTCAACTTGGATCATAATCAATACTAAATATGGGTGTCAATGCCTTACCTGCTAACGCGAGGATATTTAATAGCAGTGTCAACTTACATCATAATCAATATCAATAAGCTGTCATTCAACAATTGCAGACCCACTCAATAAAAAGGTCCCTCAACGGGAGCAAATGTTCATTAATAAATGTCGAATTGGTGTGATAGGACTTAACCAACTGTCGGAAGTCAAACAACCATGACCAAATCAAGATATTGTTCCAGACGCAGTCGCCCCCGCAAACGATGTGGAAGAAAAATGAGGAAAACCAGGTGCCGGGGAAGACGACGAAGGAGGATTAGTCGTAGACCCCGTCATGTAACCTATAGGAGGAGGGTACAGAAGATTATGCACCTTAAACGCCGCTCTCGGCCTCGGGAAGACATGGAGACCAATTTGAAAGCAAAGACCAAGAGACATCTTACCGAATCCTTGAAGCAGCATCGAATGTCCCTGAGGATGTCTGACTGAACGCCACGTTGCTATGTGTGAGGATTAAGACTATCAATTGATATTGAATAAAAACAAGTACTTGAGACTTGGGGGTAAAAAATATATTGTTCTTTGCCTTGTTTTATCTTTTAAAAATCCAACAATCCAGTTAGTACAATACAGCAAACCTGGGAAGCGAGATAGCAGGGGAAACCTGAGTGATTTAGGTAATGCACTTGGCAAAGGGTGACCGACTGGATTGATATTCTGCATTACTGCATGACTGATAGGTTTATTAACAGTACAAGTGCAATGTAGCTCTGAATTGGAACTCAGTTAGTAAAAGGCTGAACCCCTGGCATTTCAAGGTACAACTGCATTGCGATTGGGATCAATAACTCTGCCTCAGCCCTGTGTTCCACAAAGATGCATCTTAGATAAGACAACTCAGACCTTTCGTGTGTCAGACACCTGGCCGACCCCCAAAAATGGGGCAGGATCACTGGTATAAGGTTTGATGTGTTGTGGGGCATTGTGGCTGTTGCTAGGTTTGAAGGGTTTATGATGAACAATAACCCCTTAATATAATAATAATTTGGTCACTCAATCTACAACTCTGTGTATATTTTATTTATTTATTTTGAAGGGCATATTATCCCCGGAAAAACAATCCGCCAATCGACTAACAACTCGCTGCTACGTAAACAGAGGTGTGTGGAGTAAGGAAACTTGTCTAAGGTTTCCACCTGCCCGCGAATCAAATCCAGATCTTTTCGCTTGTGAGACGAGTGCTCTAACCACCGAGCTACAGGACCTCACTGGATGGCACTGGCTGATTTTCCCCTCCCTGGTTTAGAGGCCCTGAGGCCAGTGTCAGCAAACCTCCTGCCAACCTCATTGAGAATCAGCTCAGTCAGCATAGAACAGATTCAAATCTGTGCCCTTTTGGTTTTTGTGGCTCAGTGCTGCCCTGGGCAGTATCTTTGCTGACTAGGTTATTGGGCGGAGCTCCTCAGCTGTTTAACATCACCACTGAAACATTAATAAAGGATTTACAATCGCAACACTGTGAAAAGTTTAAAAAATCATTTTAGCATTTTAAAACTGATTGATGGCCTCAAAAGTTGAAAGTTGTTTAATTAACTTTGCATTTGATAACAATCCTTGCATTGACTTTCATATCGGGAGAATGTTTCAAAGCACTTCACAGCATTTACAACAACAACTCGCCCTTATATAGCGCACTTCACACAGAGTAGCGCCTCAGAGCACTTAACAATGGCGGAGACTGACGTCGAACCAGGGGGAGGAGGTTACCATAGGGGCAGTCAATGAGGATGATCGTATTGCATGATCTAAAAATGGGGGAGGGGGCAAGGCGAAGGGATTGAGTTCCAGCGTTTTTACTGTAAAGTTTAGAGGCAAATGTTTGCAGGAACATGGAAAGTTTATAGCACAGAGATACCCTCTACTGTACCCATCAGCCTGAGGGAGCTGGATTCTCAGTAATATCTTATGCCGGGTAATGTGTCTAATTCCCGCTGAGCGGCCGCACGAGTCACAGGGGAATGGAAGTGGAAGAGAGTAACAACAACAGAATTACAATTGTATAGCACATTAATGATCAAGTTGGCATAAACTTATGATAACAAGACTAGCTTAACTAGTCACCGCCACTTTAGTCACTAGGCTGTCAATATCCCGGCTGCTTCCATTGTTAACAAGGAACTCTGTGTCACTCTGCTTAACATGTAACTAGTATCATTCTAGAAATTCTTGTAAGTACTTACAATGTAAAATTGATTGGATAACTAGTATTATAAGATGGTGTCTTGCATTGCACAGGCCACCTGCTCTATCCTGACACAGGAATAGGACAGGAGACCATGGCCCGTCCCTCTAATAGACAAGAGGCCTCTGCCATATATCTGAGCCTGTGTCTAATCCCCACTGAGCGGCCGCACAAGTCACAGGGGCATGAAAGTGAAAGAGAGCAACAACAAAATGACATTTGTATAGCGCCTTTCATGTCGGGAGGACATCCCAAGGCGATGGACAGTCAGAGTTTTGAACCCGAGCTGTCCGGGAATTCAGGATTGGGGAAGGTAGAGGGCAGAGTGCGGACGCAAGGTGATCGAAAGCACGGTCGAAGAGGAGAATCTTCGGATGGGTCTTGAAGGAGACAAGGGAGGGGTCGAGGAGGAAGGACTGCGGGATTGAATTCAAGAGGTTAAGGGGCAGTGTGGCAGAAGTAACCCGCTTGACACTGTCCCTCCCTCTGCTCCACCTGGAAAGCTCAGCTGTGACTGGAAGATTTGTGTGAGGAAACATATTATTCAGTAGAGACTTCTCCTCTGAGGTTACATTTAAGTATTTTTTTAATAATTGCCTCTGAGATGCAAGACACCATCTTATAAGACTATTTATCCAATCAATTTTACATTGCAAGTATTTTTATAAGTTTTTATCAGCTTTCTCTAAGTGTGAGAATAATAGAAATAAAAAAAATCTAAAAATATTCGCCCACAAATATACGGTCAATTCACTTTACAGTCTATTCTGTGAAGCGTTTTGAGATGTCGAGAAGACATGAAAAGCGCTATATCAAATGCAAGGATTATTATATCAAGCGTCACTGTGGCAAGGCAAATATCCAACTGGTTTCATATTTTTCCTGATTTGCTTTTCCTTTTAGCTTTTCATTTCTTCTTTCACCTTTACTTTCGTGTCTGCCCTGCCCATTTGTTTCAATCTCAGAACTCACTTGTCCTTTCACAGAAATTTGAGTATACGATGCCAACTGGTCCATTGAGATGACTCCAGCTCATCTACTGGAGCTAACTACTCTAATCCCAATTCCCCATTCCCTTTTTAGATTATTTGTCTTCAAACCTTTGTGTCAAAGCATTTCATGTTCCAATAACCCTCTGTGTGAAGGTTTTGTTTAACACCAGTTTTAATTCTGAGTTTATACCAAAATACAAATCTGTTTGTAGCACACTCTGGTACAATGAAACTACAAGTGTAAAACAAATTCAGTTCATGAAGACCATAAAGACCACCTTAAAGATCATCAAATTTTGAAACCACTCATCCTAGTTCAAGTATGAGTCCCTGTATACATGCTAATCCTTTTGCACATAGAAAAATAGCCTTGAATTACAAGCTAAAGAATCGCAGAATAAGGATTCTTTACTGGAGTGGAGAAGATGTGAATCACTCTAAACCTACGCTTTGCTGCTCCGTTGAACTACTGAAGTGTAATTTTCTCCAGGTGCCACCAGATATAACCTTTAAATTATAGTTTAGACTACAGAATTGGGCTTACTTATGATTGCTGCCCCCCCCCCCCCCATCTATTGCCCCGCAGTCAACTGGCCTGGCAACAACCAGTCATTTGGGCAAGATATCAAAGGTTTCCTTCTGGCCGTGGAAATCATACTCTGGTCAGACACTTTCGTGTTAAGGGGAGGGAACTGGCAAGGAGAGAAAAGCATACGCAAACCAAAATTAGATTTAAAAATCTGACCACAAGCCTAGTTTACTCTGAGGCATCCTGAGGATGAAAGTATCATATCAGCTTGACCCGAGCACTTTTGCCAATCGCCTTTGGATAGTTCAATGGCTGACCTGCAGAAAATTAGCCAAGTGCTCGTTAGCTAGACCTTAATGTAAATAGATGTGGTTCAATGACTTGCGTTTTAAAAAGCAATTATAGATTATGTCCCCAGAATATTTAATACAAAAGAGATTCACTGACATAATTGTATGGCATAGTTGCTAGACGAGCAAAGGAGTATCTAAAACTTTTATTTTATTGAGCTTTTTAAAAAAATTAATGTATATTGTTTTGAGGTCTTGTGAATGAATGTAGTGATGATTGAAAGATATTCTGCAAAAGAAAAATAGTAAAAGCTGTTTAACTGGTTTAAGTGGCCTCTGACCTGGTATTCAAGAGACAGACCCATGGGGTTCCGCATGTGTCAGACACCCGGGTGACCAAAATGGGGCAGGGTCACTGGTGTAAGGTTTGTTGTGTGGGGGCAGGGTGGCCGGCTTTGGTGTAAGGTTTGTTGTGTGGGGGCAGGGTGGCCGGCTTTGGTGTAAGGTTTGTTGTGTGGGGGCAGGGTGGCCGGCTTTGGTGTAAGGTTTGTTGTGTGGGGGCAGGGTGGCCGGCTTTGGTGTAAGGTTTGTTGTGTGGGGGCAGGGTGGCCGGCTTTGGTGTAAGGTTTGTTGTGTGGGGGCAGGGTGGCCGGCTTTGGTGTAAGGTTTGTTGTGTGGGGGCAGGGTGGCCGGCTTTGGTGTAAGGTTTGTTGTGTGGGGGCAGGGTGGCCGGCTTTGGTGTAAGGTTTGTTGTGTGGGGGCAGGGTGGCCGGCTTTGGTGTAAGGTTTGTTGTGTGGGGGCAGGGTGGCCGGCTTTGGTGTAAGGTTTGTTGTGTGGGGGCAGGGTGGCCGGCTTTGGTGTAAGGTTTGTTGTGTGGGGGCAGGGTGACCGGCTTTGGTGTAAGGTTTGGAATTCTGGGACAGAATAGCTGCTGCTATTCTAGAAGGGTTTATGGTGCATAGTGTGGCAGGCGAGTGCTGGCAAGGAGCATGTATCCCTGTCTGTGTTGTGGGCAAGTGTGAGGAGTGAGCTAGCAATTGCCCAAGGCTTGTCGCCTGTGTACATCAAAGCCCCCAACTCCACCTTCTCTGGTATGGAGGGCGGAGATGCATCTAAGTCAAGCAGAAGAGAAGCTAACCATGCGTGTGGGCTGTGGAGTGAGCAGGAAGAAACATATCAGGGACTATTGGAAATTGATAACCACATGATTAATTTGACCATATATGGCATGAAAGCCATGTCATGGATGTCACAAATAAGTGATGAAGGTACATGAGGAATGAGGGACATACCAATACCTTATAAGGCAGTGTCAACTTACATCATAATCAATACCAATAAGCTTGGTCATTCAACAATTGCGGACCCACTCAAATAAAAAGGTCCCTCAATGGGGGCAAATGTTCAGTAACAAATCTCAAATTGGTGCGATAGGATTCAACCAGTTGTCAAAGTCAAAACAACTATGAACAAATCAAGATATCATTCCAGACGCAGTCGCCCCCGCAAATGATGTAGAAGAAGGATTAGGAAAACCAGATGCCGGGGAAGGCGACGAAGGAGGATTAGTCGTAAACCCCGCCATGTAACCTACAAGAGGGTACGCAAGATTGTGCACCTTAAACTCCGCTCTAGGCTTCGGGAAGACGTGGATACCAATTTAAAAGCAAAGACCAAGAAACGTCTTAACGAATCCTTGAAGCAATATCGAGTGCCCTCAAGGATGCCTGTCTGAACGCCACTTTGCTATGTGAGAATTAAGACTATCAGTTGATATTGAATAAAAACAAGTACTTGAGATTTGGGGGAAAAAAAACATTTGGGGCTTTGCCTTGTTTTTAAAAAAAAATCCAAAATCTGCCAGACCATATGATACAATAGATAATAATCCTGCATTTGAGGGCTTCACATAATATACTGTAAAGTGAATTGACTGTATATTTTGTGGGTGAAATGAAGTGCTATGGAAAACTGTGGACGCACCTGGCTCAGGACTGGACTATCCAGACCGCCACAGAGGGTGGGCCTAATTTTGACAATCCATTGCCAGTTTGGCTCCAAGCAGACATCGCTTATTTCCTTTCTGCCACCCCCACCCCCTACCTACTTGTTGGTATGGCATCCGTTAAACGCAGTTACCAGGAACTCCCTGCGGAGTGCACAATGAAAGAAATAACTTGTCTGTAAAGGTTGGGGTGAAAAGAGAACAGACATCGATAGATTAACTCACCAATCTTTTTTGGTTTAAAACTTGCTCAAGAAGACTTGCTTTGCGATTTGTCTGATGCTCAGTCATCATACAGCTCAGGCGCTGTTTAGTAACAGATGCAGGTCTTTCCTCTGTATCATCCTGAAATATAAGCGACCACCTGATTTAAGCCTCATTCATGCCGCTTCCGATCATACCAACTGTTTTGCATCACCGCAACAAAGTATTGACTTAAAACAGGACTATAAGCAAAACAATCCAAAATGTACTTAAGTAAGTAAATAGCAACACATTAATATCCTATATCTTATAAATAATAATAATCCCTGCCCCCCAAAAAAGGCCACACAGGTTTTGTTAAAGAAGTAATTAATGTTTTTTTGCAGCATGTTTAGTTTTTAGCAATAAAGTGAAAAAATGTAGGTTGGATGTAAAATGTACCTCAATAGCACTAATCAACTCTGCATCATTTTCTGCAAAATTTGTCAAAAGTCTGTCTGCAATTTCCTGCAAAACGTCAAAATTTCTCCGCAATAATGGGCAAATATTCCTGCACCTTTCTATTGGCCCAGCGCATGAGAAACTTCAAGCAGCAGTTGAGTGTAACTGATCACTATTGCTGCCAGACTGCTAGCACTGGCAGTGTTCTCTGCTATTGATTAACTTCTGCAATCATCCTTTGACAGTTTGAGCAGCTACCTTAACTACGAATGAACAGCAAAAATAAAACTCTCAGATATTCTTCTCTACCTCCAGTTTCATGCTTGATCACTTTTGCTTGTGCTTTAACAATATCGCTACACATTTCTCCCAACTGTGAATTAAAATCGATGCAGACTTGAATCAAAAAAGTCCAAACATGTTCATATTTGCCAAATGTCTCTCAAAACACACGTGCACCTTTCTCCCCCAACCCCCAACCTCAACATCTGAAGCCTTTAGACTTCACCCAGGCTATAATAATAGGCATTTGATTATACTGTCTTATCAAGTCATCGAGACGTCTCAAAGCGTTCTACGGAATATACTGTAAAGTGAATTGGCTGTATATTTTATAATAATCCTTGCATTTGATATAGCGCTTTTCACGTCGGGAGGACGTCCCAAAGCGCTTCACAGAACACACTGTAAAGTGAAATTGACTGTATATTTGTGGGCGAACGCGGCAGCCAATTGCGCACAGCAATGTCCCACAAACAGTCGTAGATTGAAAATGATCAATTTGTTATTGTTTCGGTTTTTTTTTTGGAGGGGATCATTATTAGGCGCGTGGAGTAAGGAAATTTCGTGGGCCAAAAAGGCCGGTGTTGTACACCCTTTCAAATGCAAGAATTAAGGGTCCGGTGATAGGATCTTGACCCGCAGCCCCAATTTGCGGAAAAAGAAACGTTGAAGTCTCGCCCTTAAGACGCACTCTTACATCGCTCTTGTTTGTGCCACCCGCCGCCTTGACGCTCTTCTTCTTCTTGTACTTCTCCTTGTAGGTTTTATTGCGGTGCTTCTTGCACATCCAGGGTTTCCTCTGCTTGGCCACCTGTGTGGTGGACTCGGTGCAGCCCTGGTAAATGCACTTCTTGATCACTTTCTCCCCGGCCTCGTCGTCCTCGTCCTCGTCGTCCTCGTCGTCCTCCTCATCCTCGTTGGCTTCCCCCGGGCTGTCCCTCGGCTCCGAGGCCTCCCTCGGCTCCGAGCTCTCCTGCCGCGCCTCGCCGGCGGCTCTGCCTTCTCCTCCACGGCCGCCGTCGTCCATCTCCTCGTCGTCGTCCAGTCCCTCCACGTCCACGTCGACCTCGTAGAAGGAGGCGGCGTCCATGGGCACCGTGGTCAGCTCCTGGTGGGTCACGGCACCGGGTGACCGGTTGGCGTCCGTGTCGCTCTGCCCGTTCTCGCTGTAGCTGATATTCGCCCCGACATCCGCCACTTCGTCGTTCATGGTTCCCCCCCCAAAAAAAAGAATAATAATAATGGTATTTTTTTTCAAGCGACGAAAAGGCAGAAGCCGAGCCGAACGATGTTATTGTTGTTACTGCTGTTGTTATTATTATTAGGCGACATCCGCGCCGCCGGTGAGGTGAAGACGGGGTCGAGGGAGGAAACAAACCCCAACGGCACAACTGAGCTCGCGCGAAAGCTTGACCTTTGAACCTGTCAGTCTGGTGACTGCGCACGCGCGCCAAACCAACGGCCCGAGCGCGCGCGCCCGCCCCGCTTACACTGCAGAAGCGACCAACTGCCACTCGCGCCCCACCTCAGTGAGTCTGCGCCAGTTCCGTCTCGCCCCGTCAAGACGCGTGCGCGCGAATGGATGGGTGCGCGCGTGCGTGCCTACGTCCGCCCCGCCCCTTGTGGGCAGACGAGGCGGCTTTATGCCCCCCCCCCACGTTGGGGCGTGCGGTTGTTGCCCCCCCTCACTGCGCCTGAGAAAAACGGCTTTGAATATTTTTTTAAAAATTAAACCCGCAAAGTGTTCCCGCCCTTTTTGAAGACCCTTTTTGCGTACGCAGTTTCGAGTGCGTTAAGCCAAATTGGGCCATTCGTAACTATTGGGCTACTTTGGGGGGGGCGGGGGGGCTATCGTGTGATGGGCTTTGGGCTACAAACGTAGTTTAATTGGTGGCAAACGTTCCAGCCGACGGGTTTTATTTGAAACCTCTGCCGCTGGTTAACGGTCTGTTCTTGTCGCTCGCGCCGAGTAACGGCGGCCATTTTGCTGTGCACGCGCCGGTCAAATACATTTAGCCGACAGTGATTGACAGTGCCCGCCCGGCCAGCGTTATCATCATCATCATCAACATCATCAACATCATCACTTGCATTTGGTGTAACACCTGTAAGAGCTCGAAGTGCTTCATAGGTAATGACCTTTAAGGTGTAGTACAGTGACTGCGTTCGTAAATAACCAAGAGAGCTCGTTTGCACGTTGTAATACAACCCCTCCCCCTCCCACCCCCAACACCTATGTAAAAAAATGACCAATTAATCTGGACTCCGCCTTAACTGGATTGTTGTCCAGAACACTTTTTAAAAAAAACACAGGTCTGCGGGTAGCAAGCAATAGGTCGCAAACAATTTTCTTTGATCGCGTTTATAATAATAATGCTCCTTGCATTTGATATCGTGTCTTATTAGGTTGACTCAAAAGCGCTTCACAGGATTTGCTGTGGAGTGGAGTAACTGCATTTTGTGGGCGAAATGTGGCAGCCAGTTTGTGCACAACAACTACGGGGCAAATAAGACGGGTATTTGGGGGTTGAGGTACAGAACAGCCTCGGTGGGCTGAATGGCTTATTGCTATGTTCCTGTAACGACAAACAGCCTGGGAGGGAGTGATATAATAATAATAATAATAATAATCCTTGCATTTGATATAGCGCTTTTCACGTCGGGAGGACGTCCCAAAGCGCTTCACAGAACACACTGTAAAGTGAATTGACTGTATATTTGTGGGCGAACGCGGCAGCCAATTGCGCACAGCAATGTCCCACAAACAGTTGTAGATTGAAAATGACCAATTTATTATTGTTTTTGGTTTTGGAGGGATTATTATTAGGCTCTGTGTGGAGTAAGGAAACTTGCCCAAGGTTTCGCCCTCTGCCTGGAATTGAACTCAGGTCTCTCACTTGCAAAGCGAGTGCTCTAACCACTGAGCTACAGGACTCCACGTCCTGATCAAATATAGTTGGGAGATTGTTGGCCAGAACACCTGGGGAGAGAAACTCTCTTCTCTTTTTAAATAGTGCCATGGGGTCTTTAAACAAATAGAGTTTTAGTTATTCCATAATGAATCACATTTGTTTTGAAACTTTTAATGAGTAAAGGGAGGATCTGAGACACCCGGGATCATTCGTGGTCTGCAGCTCCACATTTTATGTTAATTTTTTTGCATAAGCCCTGCCCACAGTCATCTCATTTTGGTCAACCTTTTCTTTTTCCCTAAGTCCAGTTTTATGATCATCTGTAGCCCTTTGGTTACTTGACAGTGCACTTTGTATACACGGTAGGAATTAACATAAAAATTATCAAATTCAAGTTTTAATTACATGTGGTATAAATTGTCTGATATGTGGACAGTGCCATAAAATTGAAAATTGTCTTAGAGGTCAATGATGGGTAGTGGATTACAGAACAAAGATGTCTCGCTATATGAAATGCATATAAACACTTAATATAAATTGAAAACGTATATTGAAAGTACTGTAGAATTACCAGTGCTTTTTTTTGTAATTGATTTGGTATTGAGTTATTGTCAATACCAAATACTGTTTTTTATCAGTTATTGAGTTTAAATTTGCATTTCAGGTTCTATTTAGCTGAAGTTTTAAATGATCTTACTAAAAACAGAACTTTTCACAAAAACGGTTCCTTCTGATTTAGAATTAGTCAATATTTTTCTCTTTAGGTACTTGTGCCTTAGGCAAATATTTTATCTTTTATTCAAAAAATTATAATCACAACCCTAATTTTGTTTGTGTTTGTTTGAGATGATGAGATGAATTAAGTATTTTGCCTTTTTGAATTAAGTACTCCTGAATTAGTGGACATTTCAGATTGGAGGATTGAGATAGTGAACTATTGCTCCAATGTTTCAGTGTTCGATTGGTCAGATGAACAACAACAACAACACAAACTTGCATTTATATAGCACCCTCCACGAAGGGTAGCGTCTCCGAGCGCTTAACAGTGGTGGAGCCTGACTCTAAACCGGTGGGGGGGGAAGTGACTGAAAGTGTGGTCGAAAGGGAAGGTTTTCAGGCGGGACTTGAAACGGGAGAGAGGGGGCAAGGCGGAGTAAAGATTTACGCTTGCAGTTCTTTGCACAACAATAACTTGCATTTAAATAGTGCCCTTCACGCGGGTAGTGTCCAGGACCGCTTGAGATCTGCTCGATTTCTATAATTAAATCATGGAACAATGCTGAACAGGTTGTAGAGCGATAGTGGGAGAGAAATCAGTGGGTTTCATTTAAATTGCTGATTTAGTACACAAATGAAATGTATCACTTATCAGAATTCTAACTACACGCAGGGTGACTTGGCCAACTGAACCTCACCCCCTCTAGTACATTGACTGTTCCACCATTGCTCTGCTTTACATAAAATCTATATCTTCATTTACCAACTGTTGAAAAAATTTGAAATAACACTTTTGAAAAAGTTGTTTTCAGCTTAATACCTTTTTGTAAAAGTATTTTGTATTACTTCCATTCATGCTGTCTAACCCTAATTGTTTGGGCCCCTTTGAAATAAAAGTTTAGGTTTACTTTGATATATTTTATATAATTTATTTAGGTTTCCGTCTCCATCACCACCTTCTTTCCAGACTAAAGTAAAGTTGAAGAATTTTTCTTTATATTTCACCCAAGTTTAATAAGATTTGTTTTGCCATCACTTTTCTTCCCATGCAACATAAAGTAGGATTGAGACAAGCAAGAATTGCACTAAAGCCATGTAAAATACCTAGAAGGTATTTTCAGCACCATTTCAATTCCAGCAATTCTCTCATGGATGTGCAACAACTTTCAACAGTCATTCCTCTATTAGTAGTAGTCCTTCATGGTTGAGCCAATGCATCAAATATTAACAAGCTATGTGACCCTGAAGACATTTTAGCTAAGACTTGCTCTGTACTCACTTGCGTATTTTCCAGCAGATGTCACTGATTCAGATAGGTAACCCTGAATCATTTTTTAAATTTTCTTCCTCACCAACCAAGAGGTTCAAACAAAGCTCAGTTATAGTGGCTGCTCTCCGGATATGCTTGAGATCAATAAACTATGCAAAATTTGAGAACTGAGTTTCTACATTATATGGTGCAGTGCTATCCAGGGCAGTGCCTTTATACCTTATCTATACAGATGGAAGCAGAGCAATTTGGGTCTCAAAGGCAGAGAGATGTGGATTTGGACACCTAATGTGAACCTGCTGCTCAGCATCGCATTTGTCAGGATGCCATCAAAAAGTTTAATGCCTAATTTTGGAGTTCTGCTATGTATCTAACTGTTCATGTGCAGAATTACAAAATTATATGGTTTAACATTATTAAAAAGATGAGTACACAACTGCTTTACTAATATTAAAAATATGATCCTTTAAAAGGTGTTGCAAATCCATTAGAGAAATGCTGGAATTGAAATAGTGCTGAACATACCTTCAAGATATTTTTCTGGGCTTCAGTGCAATTCTTGCTTGTCACAATCCTACTTTATGTTGCACCTTTCAGTGGGGCAAATAGTGCAGAATAAACACGGTATTATCTATTGAACTATTAAGGGAAGCTTCTCGGATTATATCATGGTTTCCAAATCGAACAGTTAGTAAGCATGATCTGACCCAATCATTTATAGAATCAACAACAATTATTTACACTTCTAAAATGCTTTTCATTTTGAGAGAACATCTCAAAGCATTTATAATCCCAAACTGGGAAGGAGTTGTGTTGGAGGCTGAAAACACCCAAATCAAGCCGAAGTTGGAGGAGCAGAAGGAGTGGCCAGGAAATTAGAGTTCCAGAAGTTTACAGGAATGACCTCTGGTAGTTGAATGCCTTGGAGTCATCTGAAGGTGAGGATGAGAATCTTAAACAACAACAACAATTCACATTTATATAGAGCCCTTGATGCGGGGTAGCGTCTTGGGAGCTTGTTCAGTTCCCATCAGTCAGCAGCTGATGGGAACTGAACAAGGTAGTCTCATTTTTCTTGATGAGTAGGAAAACGTTATCCAGGACTTGATGACTGACACATGGTCTGTCAAAACAATATTTTTCTCTACACAAGACATCTAACCTATTCTCACTCTTGCTCAAGCTCCATGCCCCTTAATATTTCTTATGCCTCTCAAATAGCTAATTTACTTTCAAAATAATTTATGGACAGTTTATGGCAGAAGTTAAGTATGGTGAAGCAGCAAGGCTCATTAAGTGTTTCATTTTTTGGAAGCTGATCTTGCAGGATTGAATTGCTTCACCTCATACAAAAATATCTTAGGTGCTTAATTCTGAAAACAGCCAGAGAGAAATGAGTGCAGAGATAAATATAATCTGAAATGAAAAAAATGATCCAGAGATACATGGTTTCTGTGCTGTTGGGACCAGGGGAGAGGTGAGAATTATGTTTGGAGGGTAAAAGGCCAGATTTAAACAGTGAAAATAAATATTCTTGGTTATATTTGGAGATCACAGTGTATATGTGAAAAACTCATTCAAGGAGTTTGAGGGAGTGATGTACATGGTAGGGCAGGTCTTGAGTACATTGACGGGTGATTGTTGCGTTTTCTAATTCTATGTTTTACATAGATTTACATAGACTGTACAGCACAGAAATTAGCCATTCGGCCCAACTAGACTGTGCTAGTGTTTATACTCCATGCAAATCTACATCCACTCCTTACTCCCTCCCATACCCTTCTATTCCCTTCTCCCTCGTCTGTATGTTTAGCTTTCTCTTATATGCCTCTATACAATCTGATTCAACCACCGCTTTGGGTAGCGAGTTCTACATTCTCACTATCCTTTGTGTGAAGAAGTTCCTCCTAAGTTCTCTTTTTGGTCCCCTAGTCCCTACATTATATTACTATGTCACCAGTGGGAACAGCCCATTTAGGCTAATTTTAATCAAACCCTTTAAAACTTTTGATATATTAGGCCTCTAATTTGGTCCTCTCTCAAACTTTCTCCTCGAAAAATGACTAAACAATCCGGTTTATCGTGACAGCAGTAACCTACCAGCCTTGGTATCATCCTAGTAAACCTATGGTGTACTCTTTCCATCCCTGCTGTATCTTTGTAGTGTGGTGACAGGAATTGGACACAGTATTCCAAATGTGGTCCAACCAAGGTTTTGTATGAATTCAACATTACTTCTTTTCAACATTACGGCTTCTTTATTTTTTCTGCCAAAGAGAATTACTTTGGATTTTCCTATATTAAACTTCATTTGCAATCTGTCTCCCCATTCTGCTAGCTTGTTTGTCTTCCTGCATTCTTTTGCATTACTTCCTCTTCACTATTTACTTTGTACCAGTTTTGTGTCATCTGCAAATATTGCCAATAAATTATTGGAAATATCAAAAAATTAAGGATTAATTATTTTTATAAATTGAATATAATTTCTCTAATTGTACTTCTATTATAGTATATTCATTCCTGTACTATTGAACATTTTCTACTTTACTATTTTGCATTTTCTGCTAAAGTAATACCTTTTCACAGATTACAAATTGTGTTATGTTTACAGCTCGCTCACACAATAGAGACCGTCTGCACAATTGGTTGCATGGTTTATTTATAGCAAATGCCAGAAGATTTAAGAAGTAATATACAAGAGGTTAAACTGTTGGAAATATTCTATTAAAGTTAAATCTATGCAGAAAATTGTAACCAATATTTCCAGTGTCAACTTCTGTCAATCAAGGATCATCAATGGTAAAAAGTAATTGCCTTTTTTTTCTAATACATAATGTGGTGGTTCATTTACATTGGAAAATCACACTGCATCGCAAAGAAACTTGTACATAACATCATGCAGCAACAACAAAATTACATTTGCAAAACAGTGCACAGATCTGCTGTCTTGTTTCCCCCTCTGAAATGATAATAATAATCCTGCATTTGATATAGCGCTTTTCACGTCGGGAGGACGTCCCAAAGCGCTTCACAGAACACACTGTAAAGTGAATTGACTGTATATTTGTAGGTGAACGCGGCAGCCAATTGCGCACAGCAATGTCCCACAAACAGCCGTAGATTGAAAATGACCAATTTAATTATTGTTTTGGTTTTTTTGGAGGAATTATTATTAGGCTCTGTGTGAAGTAAGGAAACTTGCCCAAGGTTTCGCCCTCTGCCTGGAATTGAACTCAGGTCTCACTTGCAAAGCGAGTGTTCTAACCACTGAGCTACAGGACTCCGTAATAATTATCCATTTTAATCAATATAACTTTGTGCATAAATGTTATTTACTGAGTTACCAGCAATAGAGTCTGCCAGTTACTGATCATATGATGTATTTAAAGAACTATTGTTCGATTCCATTACTTTGTGAATACCATTCATTTGATTTTTTTATGCCGATTAAAATGCAGTTGAAACACAGCTGTACAGTTAACCGTATCTATAAGTGCAAAACATGATTGAGTTTCCTAGATTTTTTTTTCTTGTCCAGTAATGCATCAAACTACCTACACAAAAACATGAACGCTTGTTTGGACAATTGTTTTCATCTTGTGTCCAAAAAATAAATGTTGATTTTATGAACCGTATTTAGCTGGAGAGAGTTGAGAAGGCAGACCTCTGGGATGAGAGGCTGCATACTTCCAGATTGGTGAAAGAACTCCCTGTGGTGCTTGTGCACTCTGGACAAGAAGAACTGGAGCCAATGACATTCTTAAGCCTATGCAATGCGATTATCAGTAGCAAAAGCAAAAAAGCCAACAAACTCAGGAAAATTGACACATATATAAAGACATTTGATAAGTGGCTGATAGATGAAGCCACTGCTGTGTTGATGGGCGTTGGGTAAGAGACATCAATTGTTTCATTTCCAGAGTTCTCACTGAAAGATTCGACAGCTGTTTGAACAGAAGACATTTCCAATATTTATGAGAAAGGGCACGCAGCAGGCTTCAGACTTCCAACAGGTTTTGCACAAGGTGTCTGAGCGTTTTCACCGGTTTCCAATCTGTGGTTAAAGCTTTGATATTTGAAGAGAAAAAGTCATAGTGGGAGCCAAATCCAGCTACGGAATAAGGTGTAATGCTGTGTCTAGGAGAAGAAAAATACACTAAAATACTGTAATAAAATTACAAACCAGGAAAATAATAATCTGCAAAGGAAAACACCATCAGAACCCATCTGACCCTGCTTTAAAGCAGAACCAAAGACTAGATAACATCAAAATAAGTCAAATGATTAATTTGTGCTTAATTACCTTGATTTTCAGATCACTGTGTTCAATAGTCCTTTGATTTGGTGATTTAGTTCAGAACAATATTGCAGACGCAGGAGCTTGTCTCACTACCCAAAAGAATGTAACTGCAGCTGGTTCGAAGTGACACTGACTGCTAGTTTTAAGACTAGATGTGATCATCAGCCCTTCTGCTGTTGTTGAGAACACACTGGCATCCTTGGCAATTTTCCTAAATGACTCTAAGCATCACTGACCACCTGAGTGTTTGAGGCACAGAAATGTTGCATGCCTCAAACATTATATTTTTGAGCACTTATCCAAGTTAATTAATCTCAGGCTCATTATAATGTTACAAATTTGTCTATTAAGATTGATGAAAGCTTTGTTAGAAATATTGGAGATCTTTGATATATCAATTCTAATTAATTGCTTACGCAATAGCACAAATTTTAATAAAATATCTTGCTTGGAAATAGAACCTACAAAAATAAGACAATAAATAATAAGCTCGTACTCACTTTCACACCCTTCCCATTTCTTCAATACATAGAATCATTGATGTCTCGTAATAAAACCTTCCGGTTTTCACCGTTTCGGTGATACTATATGAAATGATGGCATTCTGATGCATGTTACGAGATTATTAAATATTAATCAAGATGCAGAAAAATCCTACATTAACAAGTCATAGGCATAGATTTAGATGCACAATTGGTGATATATTAACCTCATTCTCAGCTAAGGTTTTGGGAACTTTCTAAGTGCAGATCATTTACAAAATGAGCAGGCATGTCAAGCTGTGCTTCTGTAATGTATCTCTTGGAGAGCTTCTTTCCAAGTTGCTGGTCCTGTTGACTGGAGAATATATTAAAGAAAAGAAAACACTGTCTAGACAAATCTCTCTGCTCAGCCCCTTTTCTCTAAAAAAAAGGCCTTTTATTATAGCTCTGCGAATCAGGATGACTGTACAATACAAATTTACATTTCTATAGCACCTTTCATGTTTGGAGGACATCCCAAGGCACGGAACAGTCCAGGGTTTACACCCGATCAGGGATTGGTGGGGCGTGGAATGGGAGGGAGGGCGCACTATACTATGAGGTGGAGTGACTGTTGTTTTTGTGAGCGAATACTTTTGAGCCCAGAACCACAATAAATTGCGTTAGCATTGCAACCAAACAAAATACATTTTCTATCTCCTCACTGGGAGATTCAATCCCAGGGGTGTTGTATAATTTAAATGGGGATGAAAACTGTGGTATACTTTTTTAATTGGCTCATGGTGAAACAGTTTATTTGTAGTTTCCTTATCATTTAATTTTTTTTTCTGGTGTCATTAAAATGTAGTGTAATTAACTATGTTTGCATTCATGCAACCAACCTGCACTCTTGGGCACTGGAGCATATATGCCAATAACTTGGGAACATCTGGGTCACAAAACATTTTATCAATCATTTGTTACAAAATTGTTTTTGTAATAATGATTCAAGGGTATATGGAATACCGTACTAGCTTTAGACATTTAACAGTAAACCTGCTGATGCTTTGAACTTAAATATAAATTTAAATATAAATTTTGAAAGATTTCATATGTCATGTGGTGGTGGTTGACTTTGTCCCCTAATAAAGATTGTGGATGATGGTTCCTTGCCTGTACGACTCTGGGAAATGGAGCCATCAGCATAATTATTATTATATGTGCAATTTTTAAAAAAAATTCTCCACACCTTCTGAAGATGCTGATGCACCCTGAGGGATCATTCCAAGGTGTTTCTCACTCCCAAGATACATTGTACAAGTAGATATTCTTCATATGTGATATTGGACAATGAGTGTTGGTAGGCTACGTGACCATGTGACAATGGCAACGTGATCCATTGTAGCTGAGCCTGATCCTGTTCACACTTGGTGTCTGCACAGCAACATTTTTCAACAATAACTTGCATTTATATAGTGCCCTTCACTCAGGGTAGCGTCTCAAAACAAGGCTCACTAGGGATCAGAAGTAAGACACATTGTCTATCTTAGTCTCCATCTTTATTTCTCCCAAGTTCAAATTTGTGGAGTCCTGTAGCTCAGTGGTTAGAGCACTCGCTTTGCAAGCGAGAGACCTGAGTTCAATTCCAGACAGGGCGAAACCTTGGGCAAGTTTCCTTACTCCACACAGAGCCTAATAATAATCCCTCCAAAATCAAAAACAATAATAAATTGGTCATTTTCAATCCATGGATGTTTGTGGGACATTGCTGTGCGCAATTGGCTGCTGCGTTCGCCCACAAATATACAATCAATTCACTGTACAGTTGTTCTGTGAAGCGCTTTGGGACGTCCTCCCGACGTGAAAAGTGTTATATCAAATGCAAGGATTATTATTATTATTTATTGAAATTAATTATCTCCTACGGCATTCCTAAATTGAAGACTGAAGCAAATTGTAACACTTATACTGCAGCTCTGCATGAGATCAGCAAACACAGCATAAACTACAAGATCGAACCTGGGACTTTTTGGTCTGTATTGCTTAGTTTCTAACTTGGTAATAGGGTTACCAATTGAGCTTTTAGGGATCTTGCAAGCGAGACACTTGGGTTCAATTCCAGGCAGGGCGAAACCTTGGGCAAGTTTCCTTACTCCATACGCCTGATAATAATCCCTCCAAAAAAACAACAAAAAAATAATAAATTGGTCATTTTCAATCCATGACTGTTTGTGGGACACTGCTGTATGCAATTGACTGCTGCGTTTCTCCCACAAATATACAGTCAATTCATTTTACAGCATATTCTGTGAAGCACTTTGAGACATCTAGAAGACGTGAAAAGCACTATATCAAATGCAAGGATTATTATCTTGAAGCAAGATGTATTATATAATTGGCAAAAAATTAAATAAAAATAAAAATTTCTGCTTGAAAGCAGACCAGTCAGAGATAAAAATGCACAAAATAAGTGTCCGACAAGTGTTTCTGCTAATTACAAGCTTGGAATTGGGACATTTTAATTCACAAGTTTTAAAAATATTCCAGGCAGAGCGAAACCTTGGGTAAGTTTCCTTACTCCATAAGGTGAAGAGGACCTGGGTCCAATTCATGGGCAGGTGAAACCTTAGGCACATGCCCCTGTTTACCTAGCAGTAAGTAGGAACCGGGATGTTAGTCGATTGGCAGATCGCTTTTCCCCCCAAAAATTTAAAAATAATTTAGTTACTCAATCTACGACTGTTTGTGGGACACTGCTGTGCGCAATTGGCTGCCACGTTTTGCCCACAAAATATACAGACAATTCACTTTACAGTAGATTCTGGGAAGTGCTTTGAGACGTCTCGAAAATGATAAGGCACTATACCAAATGCAAGGTTTATTATTAAGAAAATAAGTTATACGTTAACCTTTTTCTGATATAAATGTAATGTATAAATTAAGTACAATCCCTACTGATCAGTGTACAATTACCTGACTGTTCAGCGCTTTGGGACATCCTCCCGACGTGAAAGGCACTCTATAAATGCAATTTTGTTGTTGATGTTGTACTGGAGAGCATGGAATTAGCTTTAGTAGGCTGCTGCTGTGCTATTATACAGTATGAACAACATTACTTAGTAACTGGAACAATTAGTGAATTCATTACATTTTAAATTGATATAATACAGTACAATCATAAATGGAGAAATACGAACACTAAACCACTGTTAGTAAATTAGAGTTAAATCAGAACAAACCCAAACATTAAGATTTTTCAAGCAGTTGCCACAGCTGTGCCAATGGGAAAGATTTATTGTTCTCAGATTTTTAACCATGAATATTGGAAGTTAAATTTGAGGCAGTTTACTGAGAATTAAAAAAACCACTTAACTTCAGTTGAATGTCAGTACACTTTCCCTGAGTTTTCAAAATTATTAGTGAGAAGTGCATTCACTAAGTAAAGCATATCCAAGGCACTCACTCCAATGTAATAAGGATATTGCAGCGTAAGAACATATAGAAGAGCTGGCTTCTTATTTGAAGGACTAGAAGCAATTAATGATCCTGAAATGCTTTAAATCCTTTGATACTGACACTTTCAAAACAGCCCTACCAAATCTAACCAGTATTGACCAATAGAAATTTAAAAACAACAGCCTTTCCGAGTCCAAACCATATTTGACGGATAACGGAATTGATTTCAAAGGAACATGACAAGTTAATTTGCAAAGCAAATAATCGCATGGTTTGTAAATGTCCGACTCCCACAGAGCTGAAGGAAAGTCATTGCATTTTGTAGATGATTAATTTTTTGCCCCAAAGTCCCAGTTGAAATGTCTGCTGTCTGCTGCAGGTGCACAATCTGTAAATATACTCAGAGAAATTGCAGTTAATTCAGTGAAACGTATTTGTAACTTAAACAGTCACTGGTACTCTGCTTGCAATTAGGGAAAAAAGAAAATTGTGTATTTACACAGTGAACCAGAAAAAATAGACTTCCACTTTTACTTAATCTCGTGGAAATTTAATGTCATTTGCAATTCTGTACCTTGTTTGATCTCTTCCTTAGTTGTCAAGTTATCCTGATACAGTAGTTTATTTCTGAGGTGAATTGACCGTATGTAGCAATGTGTATCTCAGTAAGAATCAATTAAATCAGGACTACAGTGATATGTAATTTCGTAGAACGTAATATTTTATCTATTGTTTATTTCTGAAAGTGAAGTGGTGATTTGCAGCAGCAATGCAACCAAAAATAATTATAGATGCTGACATATGAACAGTGACAGCTTTTCATAGGATCATAGAATCGTACAGCACAAAAAAAGGCCATTTGGCCCATTGAGTCTGTGCCGGCTCTTTGAAAGGAGCAATGTAATGTCGATCCCATTCCCCAGCCCTTTCCCCAAAACCCTGCAAACCCGTCCTCCTCAAATACCCGTCCACCGCGTTTTTGAAAGTTGTTATCGAATCGGCCTCCACCACCCTTTCAGGCACTTTTCACTGTGCAAAGTGGTGTACTTATTTTAAACTTCAATCCAAGTTAGAGTTTGATTGAACCAGATCTAGCTCCTTCAGTTCGGTCCCTTTCAAAGGCATGAGCAGTGTTGCAACCGCATGACGTCCTCTCGACATGAAAGGCGCTATTGAAATTTAATTTTGTTGGAAGTGTTGTTGAAGTTTGTAAATTAATGTTTTGCTGTACCCAAGAGTGGAAAATATGGTCAGCTGCAGAATCGCACTAAAGGATAAGTTTGACATGTCTGTTTTTATTTTGTAAATATTAGTGGCTAATAATTCTCACAGTGAACATCAAGGAACAGAAGATGCATTGAAGAGGGTTAGTAATGCTTAGCTGCCAATCTGACTGTAATATGGCTTTGATAATCTGCATGAGTTTTTTTTAATTGGCAGCAAATATGCTTACAGAAGCTTCAAAGCAAGATCAAAAGATATGTTATCAGATGCTGATAATGAGAATTAACCAAAATGATGCAGAATGTTGAGTGAAAAACTCCTGTAGCTTATTGGTTAGAGCACTTGCCTTGCAAGCGAGAAGATCTGGGTTTGATTCCTGAGCAGGGCAAAACATTAGTCAAGTTTCCTTACTCCACAAGCCTCTGCTTACGTAGCAGTAAGTAGGACCCCGATTGTTAGTCGATTTTTTGTGGGTGTTAATCCCTTCAAAATGACTATTTGTGGGACACTGCTGTGTGCAATTGGCTGCCGCATTTTGCCCACAAAATATACATTCAATTCACTTTACAGTATATTCTGTGAAGTGCTTTGAGATGTCTTGAAGAAGTGCTAAGCTGCTATATCAATGCAAGGATTATTATTATATTTTATCAAAAAAAATGTTCCTTTGATTATCTTTTATCAAGCATTTGAAGGATGGCAGTTCTGTAGTTGGATCTTTTTGAAGTGACTGCATCAAAGCATTTGCAGATCCAATATAGATCTGCGGCTGCAGTGCTCACGTTATTTTACCCTTCCAATAACCTGAAGGCACAATCTTAGAGACTGCCTCTTGTTCCACAAGCATAACTTTTCAATTTTCTCAAACAATTTTCACTTTATGACATGTTTGTGCTAAAGAACATTAATTTACATTTATATAGTGCCTTTCACGTCAGGACGATGTCTCAAAATGTTTCACACAGCTGGGGGGAAGGGGGGGAGCTGAGGAAAAAGAGGAAAGGTTGCTGAAAGCAAGGTCAGAAAGGTAGTTCTTGAAGTGTGCTTTGAAGGCTGGGATGCACCCAAATCACTATTGACCAGTACTGGTTTGACACTGGTGAAAGGCAAAGGGACTTCAGGATGGCATTCCAGAGAGTGGGAACAGAATGATTATAAGCTCAGCCACAGTTGATGGAGTGGATCGGGCAGAAGACATGAAGTAGGTCAGTATCTACACCAGGATTATCCTGTTCTGTTAAGAGAGTATATAGGAAATTATTAATACAAATATTTACACTGAAGACATTATAGTTACACTGCAGTTACACAGATTGTACACAAATGTCGTACTGTGAGAATCTTCCAAGTGAAAATTCAAAACATTGTTTAGAATAATCACTTGGGCTGCTGACAAAGTCCCAACCACTAATCTTTCCTCTGCTCCCAAACAGATTCAGCACAGCATTACAACAGCCCATACTATCCCTGCCAAATAACTCAATACTTGCTTCCACAGGGAATGTAAGCATGAGAGGTTTTCGACCTGTTGCCTTCTATAATAATAATAATAATAATCCTTGCATTTGATATAGCGCTTTTCACGTCGGGAGGACGTCCCAAAGCGCTTCACAGAACACACTAAAGTGAATTG